GCGCGCGCTCGTCGTCGACAGCGACAAGATCGACTCGCGAATGAGATTCAAGATGTGCAACTTGTGTCGTTTGCCGACGTATCTGTAGCTCCCGGGCTCAGTTTTACATCGCTGACAAACGACACACAAGGGTATTCAATTTTTCAAAAATACATAAATTTTGTAATTTATCATTTCTGTAATCAAATAACTGCGAGTTTCTTAAATTGTAGGATTTTTACGAGCTAGAACCGACGTCCAACTTTCTTCTTTTACCCGATCTTGATACCGAGGGTTTCAAAAAATACTAAATTATTTTATTTATCAGAAAAAAAATCACGAACTCGAGCTCTTCGTTTCATCGTGACGATAAATTTTGAAGATTCGAAGATAAAGTGAAACGCAGCCGCGCGATGACTGCCGCAGTCCAAGCGAGAAACCGGCCACGCGATAGACGCGGCTTAATTATGTACGCTAGGCGTAATTGACATTTCCAGGCGCCGACGCGCTAACAGGACGATCGCGCGCGCGATAAAACAATAACGTGGCCGGGGCGATAATCTATAAAGCGTTTCATCGAGTACCCGCCTTCCTGTCCCGAGCGGAGAGCACGTTCGTTCTCTCATTACAAGTCCAACATATGGGCGTCTAAACGATCGCACGCACACACACCCAATCTTCTCCCGCTCTCGCTCACAGACAGTCGTCATTGTTTTTTTTTTTTTNTTTTTTTTTTTTTGTTTTTTTTTTTTTGTTTCTGCCGACGCGCGAAAAGAGAAGACGAGAAGAGTCCGCACGGAGATTCTGAGGATCGAAGGGAGACGGAAAGAGAGCTCTCTGAGAGGACCGCCGATGTCAGAGGCCGCGCGAAGGAATGCTGACTCGTCGAACACCACCGCCCTGGCCTCTCGAACGTCCCCTCGACGCCGAGGAACACACCTGGCCGAACGCACCACCTCCGCCCCGGAAAAAAAACCAGCCGAACGAGCCAATAATGATAATTGATAATTAGTCTCATATTTCGTCGGTGAATGCGCGTGTCGAAAAACGAAAGAGATTGACGCGGTTGGACAAATGCGACGTACTTGGAACGCATCGCGAAGACGAACTAAACGTAGAATTATTTACGTTCTTTTTTTTTTCTGAATTCTTTTCTCAATTTTACAAATCACATCTTGAGTTTTTGCGCGTACATAAAACAATTCGACGACGCACGCGAGAGATTTTACACTTCGTTCGATTTCATACTTGGACTGACTTCGGCACATATTCTGCAACGTATGCGAGGCCCGCCTATCTCCGTTTCTTTCGTTCGCTGAAAGGAGTACGAAGCGCGTCGTGCATACACATTTTAATCGCGCGGTACGCATCTAGAGAAAGGAGATAAAGGTGGTACTTACGTATAGTGACCTTTTTCCGGCGACCGTCGAACGATCGTCGGAGGATCCTTCGACGAGGGATTCCCTTTGGCGGCGTCTTTGGCGGCTTGTTCACGTTCCTCGTATGACAAACGGAAGAATAGGAGAATGGCCCGGAGACAAGTTGCATCTACAGACAGTAAAAGGTGGCAGAACTCAGGTTTAAATTCTTGTTACCAGTCTCGCGCCATCGTGTACAGGTGGACAAGACGACGGCGAACATCGAAAGGTGTCCATCGGCTTTTTTTTTTATAATGCTCCTGAAGACGCACAATAACTGCGAAGTGCGCGAGAACGAGCTTACCTGATCCTCTGTGTGTTACTTAACACGTGACTCGATATCGAAAGAAATTATATATAACACGTAATTCTCTGTTTTTATATTTAAAATTAATTTTTGCACCGAGAATATCGTCGCGGAAAGCAAATCGATCAGAAATGGACGATGAAATGCGGTGAAAAACGAAAAGATTGAATTGAAGCTTTGAAAAAATTTTGTCAATTAATTGTATATTAGTGTGAAAATTCGGCGGATAGAAAAATTTTGGAATTCTTCGTCTATTTTTGTGGTGAAAACCAAGCGTTATTCGACTCGGCATTTACAGACGCCAGCGTATCCGCCTCCTCCCCATATACAAATAGAAGGCACGTTGCGCGTTTTGACAAATGTAATACAGTACAATGAGCAGAATGGACTTCAACTCAAAGAAAAACCGCTGGGAATTCTTGTATACTTAAGAAAAGCGCAATCGTGCCGACACATTACATTCCCCGTCGGGCGAAGTAAAACTGCGAGAAACCGAGAGGACAGTCTTTTATGTTCCACCGACAGGATTCGGGGCAGGTACTACTGTGTATGTGAAAAAAAAAAAAAAAAAAAAAAAACAGGAAAAGATCTAAGCGCAAACTCCGCTTTTCGAATTTCATAGATTTTCACAAACACGCTCGAATTTCCACAATATCTTTTTCGACGCAGACAATCGTTAAACAATCGCTCCAAGAAAATCTGTCATCTGGGAGTTTGCCGGAGAACTCGAGTTTCTTTATCAATTTCAAGTTTCGATATAACGCGATCGTAATAATAATCTGTTGTGGGTTTTCCCGATACACACAAGGAAGAAGTCTCGAGAAGATTTCAATCAAACTTGAGCTCGCGAAATACACGCATCGCGGACAGAAAAACCTGGGCCAAGTGGTGGACGAATTGGCATAAGAAACGGGAATTACTGTCGTCATCGTTCAATTCCGCATCGCGGAATCGAACGATACCGCGCTCGCACAGGTAGACAAATAAAAGGAGCGAGCTAATCCCCCTCCGGTTTTTGTTGTGCTCGGATGGGTTCTCGGACGTCACAACAAGCTGCTCGTCCCACTCAACCTTTGACGTGTTGCTTTGGGATATTATACGTTTGATCGGCGGTAAAAACCGAACATGAGAGATTAAATTTCATTTCGTAACAGATCGAACGGAGCAGAGAACGGCTGGAAAAGCGCGACCGATGTCCGACTTTCAGCCGGACAATGGACCGCGCGAGCGCTCGATTGAACAACAAATGGGATGAATGTGGTACAATAGGAAGGGAGAGTCGACTTAGGGGCAAATATTTGGCGAGAATATAATCTGGTCAGTTTTCTCCTTTCGGCGTGTACACGTCGTGTCCTTTCTCTTGTCAGAAAAAATAGACGCACGAGCTACTTGTTCTCCGGCTCAAGTTAAGTATCTTACAATGCGGAGGCAGCAGCGTATTGCATAGAAATGTTTTGAAAACGATGTTCAATGAATGGGAGAGAATATTGAGAGATACTCGAGATCCTTGGCAAAAAGGGATTTAATATTAAGTATCAAACGGTCGAGAGGCGATGGAACACAATTCAACTGCTCGCAGTCTTGGTTGAGATTAGTTTCTTGCTCGAGTTTTATAGAAAATAAATTAAAAAAAAAAAAGAGAAAGAGAAGAAAGACTGGTCCGGAGAATAAAATGACACGAAAAGTTCCGAAAAGAGCGGATCAATTTTCTAGAAAACAATTAAATTATAAAAATAAATCTGTACGATGACACACACACACATACACACCGGGATCTTCTTTGAAATATTATAGGCGGAACGTCTTGATTTCAATCATAGGAAACAATTAAGCTGTATGGAATACGATGACGATGCGCGATAGTCATCGCCGGGCACGTACGCCGTATATTGTGTATGTGACGATCATCGTCTCATTAATATCCTATTCAGAAGAAGAGGCGAGTTCGTTCGGTGCAACAGCGAACCGGAGTGACAGGGCGGTTTTTTCGACGATTTATTGATGATCGGCAGTGGTGACCCTTTTAACATCAATTTTTTTTCAACCAATTAATAATCGGCGCGAAATTTACCAGATCGCCGTCGCGCACTAGCAGCTCGGTACATTGAAAAATTTTCGCATCCAAACATCTTTACGAGAGTTGAATAGATGAAAGGCGCGTGACCTTGCAAACTGTCGTTAATAATAGAATTTTGAAATTCAAGGTGAATACTATCTAATTCTCTTTCTTTATTCTATATAAAAAAAATCATTTGGACCGAAGTGCGCGTTTTGGAACCGAATGTATCGCATCTATTGTTGCCTCTTTTCCGCGTTGCCGATTGGTTGGTTGGTTGATCGAGTCAAATCGAATCGGTAAGATCGAGAGATTAAATAATGAAAAGCGATTTTGAGACAGTTCGTCATATATATAGAAAAAATTAAAAACGTAACTAAACGTGACAGGAAAGAGTAGAAAAACAACACGTGAAAATAACGTGACTGTGTAATTTATATTATATATAACATTAAATAATACATATTATACATATAATTTATTATATATTTATAATATTATACTTTATATTGTATTATATGTATTATAT